CACCACATAGACATAAACATTTGGTAGACTCTAACATAGGTACTGTTTCATAAATGAAATAGGTCAAAGGCTGTGCTGCTCCCTGCCATGCATAAACGTGACCATTTCCGCTGCGGGTGCAGACAACACGCCCACGGGTCCGCCTCCGGCCGGAGGACTGGGGCCCAGCCCGCCCCGACGTCCCGTCCGCCGGAGAGTTCCCCGAACATGATTCACGGGCGGTGGCTGTGGCCGAGGCCCCGGACCGGTCCGCTCCCGGTGCATGTCCGAACAGGGAGTACACACCTGTGCAGCTTTCGGCGCGACCTTCGTCCCGCTATCGGCCGCCACGACAGCCCCTCCCCGCGTCCTGCGGCTGGGTGGCAACTGAGTCACCGTGTGCGCTGGTGGACATGCATGAGCACGCGGCAACGGTCGCATGTACGCCCCGGAATCTGCGGTGACGGCGACGGAGGGGGGGGGGGGGACGTGTTGAGACAGGGACCGCGGATGTTTTGAGACAGTGACATACATTCGGTGGTGGATCTCCGCAGACGTTGGCGGCTTCCGAAGAGGCCGGTAGTCATCTGGAGGCAATGACAGGTCTCCGTCGACTGCCAGTCTTCTGAAGACATGGGCAGACCTTCGGAAACAACGCTGGACGGTGGGACTTTTCAGGAAGCCTGGAGACAGGGGGAAATCTCTATACCTCGGTGCCAAGGCCCTGGAGCCGGTGACAATCGCTGGGAGACCGTAGAACATCCCTGGAGACGGTGGCAGGACCATGGGGAGACCGGTGGACCAGGGCATCTGGAGACAGCTGCAGGTTTACGAGCAGGACGGCTGTTTCCTGGACACAATGACACAATGGCATACCTCTGTGGACGGTGACGGGCCTCTGGCGACGAGAGACGGCAGCAGCCCGCTCCGTCACTTGCTCCGCTTCGAAGTCGGCGCCGGCTGCCACGGCCCTGACCGGAAGTGTGCCGGCCGGCCGTCCTCACTCCCACGCTGATTTGAAGGCACTGTCCGATCCCGCTGCCCATCACAGTCCTGGCGACAGTAGCGCGGCCTGCTGCCACTAGCGATGATCACCCACCCGGAGTCGGCGGCGACTGTGGATTGCGCGTAGAACGTTCACATCCACGCGCAGTACGCGCGCTCGCAGCCAAGCGGGGATGCAGTTGCATGAGATGACGCAATGGGTCCGAGCCGACGGCTGCAGTCGCAAACTAGCCCGAATGTATTTCTATTATGGGACTCGAGCTTAGTCGTGCGCAGAGCACAGACCGGGGCGATGAAAGGCCGCGGAACGAAGCTGAGCGTAAAACTGAGACGACTGTAACCCACTTTCCAAGCAACACTGGCGACGTCTGCAGCGGCCGCAAAATCGGCTGCACGCTCGGCTCGGCCGAGTGCAGGGGCTCGTGATAGCGCCGAGACACGGGTGCGAAGTGCACGGGTGCCGCCGACAGCGGCGGGCAAGCCCGAACACGTCGCTCCAGCCGGTCGGCGGCTTTGCAGCAGACTGCTGGCCGGCCTGCCCTGCTGTGTCGGCCTGCCGCCCTGCGTCAGCGCTCACTGTGGGCCTCTGACCTGCTCAGCAAAGACGGCCAATTTGACCTGCTTATCAGCGGAGGGGTCGGGTCAATTCGTTCGGCTCCCCTTATTGATTGTAGCTTTATCCGCAACAGAGGAAACACTATCATACTTTTGTCTGCGTTCAAATATAGGCCCGGCAGGACGGTTGAAAACAAAGGTCTTAGATTAATGTTGGAATGCCCTGTCCAAATCACAACTAAAAGAGAAGGTTTTGCAGATGAGTCTTAATGAACGGGTAATGCAATAAGACGGCCTGCAGATTTTAGCAAGCATCAAACAGGCAGATTCGTTGGTAACCATTGCGCAAAAAGGTTTGCGACTATACAACGTAGTTCTTTGTTGGACAGGCTGCGCTCTGTACGACTGTATTCTGCCTTCTTCCACTCGTTCGTTCCCAGCCGCTACCACAAATGATCCGGCATCTACCGACGTCTCTGATCTGCAGCCATGGCCGTTGAGGCGCTGAGAGTGCAGGGCACGGCGCTGGAACACGTCATGTGCTCAGAACGGGTTAGGGGAAGAACAAAAACAAAGGGGTAAGAACGATACTTCTCAACGATACGCTTCTCCGGCCGCGGTATTTGCGTTGCCTAGCCATCGTAATGAGGTCCTATAGCAAACAATGCAAAATCCCTTTTAACTACTGCGATACCTAGTAAGTGACCTGCAGGTAACTCATTCGGCTGATCCCATGCTGAAAAGAGACCTCAAATGCTAACTTTACTTAGTAAGCAAGCTAACCTTCCAAGTTTCCCTACGAAAATTGCGTTTCGACGAGTCATCAGATTTATTCGTACAAGGGGCAAAATAACCAAACGCGTTAACAGTGCTTGGAAAATGTCATGTATCAGCTGCAGTCGGTAAACGCACGTGTTCATAAAGAAACAGAGGATTCGCCAATACAACGCCCCATGCAGCCACTCAGACAAGTCCTTGCATAATAACAGAGTATCTGCCATAAATGAGCGTACAGCGCATTACATAAACATATCTTAAATATTTCCAGGAATATAATTATGTCGCAACAATCAAACCACAACATTCACAACAAGTAAATAAATCGCAGCGCTCGCACATGAGATCAGTCGACTAGACAATCGTACACGGAAACCGACAAACCACCGATACCAATATAATTGCTAGTTTGATGATACGCATGACCCTGCGGTGTATTAATGCTGTTTTGGGAAGCCATAGTCTCATTATCACAATCAAAAGTGCTGCGCGTTTATCTGCGTGCTGAATACGAAAAACCACAGCGTACACACAAGGGCTTAAGAGCAATGGGCCGCATAGTACAATTTCGCACGTTTCTCTGTACTCCTTGCACTGTCCAAGGGCATGCACCAATCACCACTCCACGCCGGTGTTTTCGTCCAGCAGTGTCACTATTCACCAGCTTGAAGCGGGTCTCTGGCGATGGACAGTATGCGTCAGACCAAGACTCTCGTCGCCACCTCCGCACAGTTCGGAGCCGGAGAAACCCGCCCAGCAGCGGGTGGGATAATGGTGACCCGGACTCTGGGGGCAGCGATACGCCCTGAAGCTCGCACCGACCCACCCAACCAACAACACTGTCCGGTGCCGAGAGACGCAACACACGGGAGCTTCCCGGCGTCTAGCTGGACTGACGCTCGCCAGCGACGTCCCACTCATCAGCCGGAGGACGCAGGCTGTCCAACACCAGTGACGTCACAGATGCCGGCGGTCCCGCAGACCTCAGCAGACCGCCATGGCGCCGTGGTCCTGGGGTCCACGCAACCCTCCCGGAACCAGGCCGCTGTCCGCCGCCTGCGCACGCTACTGAGGCTCCTCAGCCCCGTTAGCACTCGCGGGGACCTCGAAACACTGCTTCTTCGTCGGCAGTGGGGTCTCAGACGTGGCTCTCTTGGCAGATGGAGCCGGCTGCGGTGACCCCGCCTGACGCTGCCCTCCTGGTCCTCAGACAATCTGCAGCGGAGGAGATCGGTGTGAGGTCAGCACACCCTGACCCTCCGGATCGGCACAGACCCCGGTCCGTCGTAACATCACTGGCACACACACGGCTATGCAGGGCTGAGCGCATGGCGAAAAGCTGCCAAAACGCAACCAAACGAATAAGGTCAGTCACAAACATTAAACAAGTGAAGCGGAAGGGCGAGTAAAGCAGGACGGCAAAGGTGCATACAGACACGGCTGGATTTGGTTAACCGTCTACTAACCAACCCAAAATAACAGGCGCGTTTAAAAGGCGCAAGCCAGCTTCGACGTTGGCTCTGCAAAAAACGTCGTTGACACGAGTTTTGCGCGGAGGGGTGCCTCGTGGCCGCCGCACCCGGCCCTATGAGCGCACGGTCAAGGGACCAGTGCGCCGACTCCGCCGCCGTCGAGGCCGCGCCGCCCGCCGCCGGACAACGCCCGCGGCGGCCCGGGCTCGCCAAACGCCCCACTAGCGCTTGTTCGAGCCTGAATCATGGTGCGGCCGCGCGTGCCCCGGCGCCGCGGTTTTCTTGTCAGCAGCCGCTGCGAGGAGGGCTCCCAGATCGGGGGGCAGACTCCGTCATGCATGATGTCATGGTGCCGGATGCGTGAGCCGAGCGCCAAATCGGGCATAGACAGTTGTGACGGAAGGATCAGGCGTTTGGGACGGATCTGGAAGCCAGACAAACAAACGGGCGCGCGAGCAGGGTGCCCATGTTGGGTGTGGTTTTTGGCTTCCACTCAACCCCTTTTTTGGGGGGGGGGGGAGCACATAAGCGCAGCCACGGAAAAACCTCCGTACCCTTGTGCAAGAAACCGACGAATGGGTTAGGACATGGGCATGGCGGTGTCTGCTGTGACGCACATCTGTCATCGTTTAATCTGGCCCGGTCAAAAAGCCGCAGAGGCACAGCGCGAAGGGTAAGGCTAAGGGCAACGGCCAGTGCAATTCAAGCCGGATGATGCGGGTTTATGAAGCATTGCCTATTTCTCGCCATGTCGCTACGCAGAGACCTGCCTATGCACCAGAGCATGGATCAAAAGCCCGCCCACTGGTACCTTAACCGGTCTGACGTGACTTTCCGACCGCCGACCCATCTGGCCTCTGCTGATGCTGGCCACTGACGACATAGGTAAAAAGCTCCGCATCTAGGCCCTGCCAACCCCCCAGGTTGCCTCGTGCTTGAAGAACAGTGCCCCACCAGCCCACCGACCTGTGACCTGATGACCTTTGAATAAGCCGGGTCACTGACCTGTGATGTGTTGCTGACGCAGCGTCCTATCTGAAGCCGGTGCATCAGCTGGTGGGTGGCGCCGGCCAGCAGCTGGAGAGGTCAGGCCAGCAGCCGGACAGGTGACGTCAGCAGCCGGAGAGGTCCGGTCTGCGGCCGGACAGGGAAGGTCAGCAGCCGGGGAGGACAGGTCAGCGACTGGACAGGTGACGTCGACAGCGGGAGAGGTCAGATCGGCCACGGCGGACGGAGAAGCAGCCGACGAGGCGAGGTCAGCGGCTGGAGAGGTCTGGTCGGCAGCGGCGGGGGTCAGGTCACTGACTGGCCCTCTGCCGGCCTTCCGTCCTGTCGGGAATGCCCGCTGCCGGTCGCCGCCCACGTACTCCCACTGATAGCGGCCCGGCAGCGGCTCCTCCCGCTCAAAGTCAAAGTTCCAGCGCAGCCGCTGGCGCTCGTAGATGGCCTGCAGCTCATCCCGCAACAGTCGGCTGTCGGAGTCTGGGCACGTCGCCGCGAAGAGGCGTCGACGACACGAGGGCGGCGGCCGTGCTGCCTGGCCCAGCGCCGGGTGGGCTACGACCTCCCCCCGCACCCCTCCTTCCGGCACGATCTCCTCCATCACCAGCATGGCGCACAGGTCACGACCGCGGCCGGCGGACGCCTCCCCCCACCCGTGTGCACCACGCGACTGCGCTTCTGCTATTGATCGCTGCCCGCTGCTGCAGTCGAAGCGAAGACACCAGCGCCACCACGCGGCCGGTACGGTACTAATTGTGGCGGGAAACTCAGCGATGAGCGGACATACTTTTGGTGTGATATGGTAGGAGGGTAGAACCGGGACAGATATGAAGCCCAGTGAAATTCAAGGTGTCAAAACTCGAGGCATCGCAGGAGCCCGGAAAACTTCTTATGACGGTTATATGCGAATATTTTTAATGGACGAATTTCTGGAATCAGAGCATACGCTAAGCAGTGCTGGTAAGCAGTGCTAAGCAGTACCCTCATTCGCAACATCCAAACGTACAGTTACAGGTGAACGGCAGAATTTGGTGCAACAGCTTACTGATAGGAGGGGGGAGGGTCGATGCAACCTCTAAGGTTTTGGGGGATACCTTTGCGGTATGCTGTGCAATCGCACCCAAATGTTCAATAGCTTATGGGGCACACTTTGAACCTGTTTGACACCAAAAAAGGTGTCCCTGCTGTTGTGGTTTCGGAGCAGCGGTGGTTTTGGAGGGGGGGGGGGGGGGCACTGCACGGCGATCTGCGGCCGGTACGGGCGGTGGACGGCAACCGGCGGTGCTGTAGAACTCGCGCGGTCGGCATGGTTGAATAACCATAATTACCATAAGAACGAGGGTGTATGTCAAGTGGTCAGACTTGCCAGACAGTGACCTTGACCAGCAAATGCCCAGCCCAGCTCAACAATCGGCTTTCCGGGGTACCCCATGCTATGATGCTGAGCGTATTTTTTCTTGTACCTGCCTTTCTTTCTACGACTTTAAAAACTACGGGATGTTGCACTCCATTCGCTGTCCGATCGAAGTGTTATGTATGCGAGTCTACTGTCATAAGCAGACTGGCGCAGCATATGGAGGAGTTGGTATCACAAAAAGACAAGCTCCTTCGCACTAGTATTAAGAAAACAGCGGCCCGATCTCAGGGCCGGATCTAGCCTGAAATTTTTTGTTTGGGGGGAGAGGGCAACCGTTCGTCGCCAGCTGGCTGGTGTGAGGTCCGAGGTCCAGTGCATGGCGCCTCTCGCGAGTACCCAGTAGGGACACCATTCAAGCACCGAAATGCTTTTGAATCTTTTATATGCAGCATGCATATTTACAAAACTCGTAACCCTCACTATGAGGTATTATTTTGCTATTATGTATTTGCTATTATGTAAGCTATTATTTTGAGGTACATCTTTTGAGGTAAGTAGACGAAACTTTTATGAAGTTCTGGGAATGTTTGGGGGGGGGGGCAAAACATACTCTGTTTTTGGGGGGGGGCATGGCCCCGTGCCCTCCCCCCCGCAGGATCCGCCTATGCCTGATCAGGTACCAAGATCTGAAGCGTACGAAAATTAGGATAAACAGGAGCGGAGTCCAACGTTCCTCAGGACTTCCAAAATGACCTGTAAATGTTGATTCAGGAGCGATGTAAAATCTTCACCCAATGTGGCAAACAACGTAGGCTCCCATTACAACGCTACATTGCGGATGTTGATCCATTAACAGTGTGGGGCTCGGACCAGGACATGCACCACCCCACACCGGCCTCGCCCGGCCGCGGCTGTCCCCAGGGAGGCAGTGTCTGCTGCTCAGACGGCGGTGAAGTCACGTGACGTCAGCCGGGGATTGCCCCTGCGGTGACAGTACATCCGGCTCGAAATCTCCCTGAATCCAAATTGGCGCCGCTGAGACGTGTGATAAATATCCCGATGTTTATGTGCTTCGTCACGGAACATGTTTACATTAAAAGCGCATTAAGTCGCATTTTTAACAAGCTTTACTTCTGGTTCAAGACCGAGTGAATGTCCAACGTTTTTGCCCGATGCATAGTTTTTTTCTTCTCTTCGTATGAAAGTAATGAAGCAACCCGGTTCTATAAACGAGAAAAGGGATGATCTGTTGCCATGCGTTCCACAGTCATTTTCTAACTCCGAGAGACTGGTCGACCGTTTGTCGCCCAACATCTGCAATGACTTTGATGCAATCATCTTGGCAACACGGTGTGTTTCGAACCTTATTTCACGCATTTGCGTCGTAAAACTTGTGAAGGGGTCGTCCATCGACTTCATCCCCACCCCTCCCTTCAGCAAAATTTAGCACGACTGCCGATTGGCGCCCGGTCGCCCAGCCTCGTCAGCATAGGTGGCGCTAGTATCGCGCGGAACAAGTGACGTGTGACCTGCTGGGCTGAGTTGGCTGTCCAGCAAGCATTGAAGCGAATGGTCATAGCCCGTACTCAAGAACCAGACGTAGGTCCTTATATGGTGTTTGATATCCGTAAGCGGAGGCATCATGCAATAACACGGAATATACACCATATGACAGCTTTAAAATGATCCACAAATTATAAATCATGAGAGTTACCTCTTACCACCCAGCCGACATGTCCCACTGGAAGCGATGAGGGTCTGAGATGGGCAGCCACATGGGACCACCTGGGCTGCCCATTTCGGTTCCATGTAGGCATGCCATGGGCAACCAACTGGGTTCCACATGGGCAGCCCGCCTGGGGCCCACGTGAGGCCTAACTGGGACCCACACGCACCCTTTCTGGGCTTTCAATTGGAACCCACATGGGCATATCTAGCTGGGACCCAAATAATCAACCCAGATGGCACCCATACAAGATCCCAGATGAGACCCATACCAACAACTCAGATAGCTCCAGTTAGACACCACCGCTCTCCCTTGTACAGCCCATCTGATTGATGGAACACCCAAATTCCAGAGACTGCTTCGTATGATCAAGTAAAAGCCAGATCAAGATTTATTCACAAAGTATTTGTGCGAAATTACCTAGTTAACAGCACCAATGTACAAAATGTACAATTTTGTTTTCATGTCCGATGCGACGATCACCAAAGGATTGAACGCCCACTCTTTGTATTGCCGTTGCTGCCGTTGCCATTGTGGTGCTCCCTGCGCTTTCGCAGCCCCTACCGCCGAAGCCATTTTCCCAGCAGCTAACACCCTCTCCACCCCGTTGCGGAAGACACTGCGGCTAGATGTGTTGCGCTGGATGACCCGCGAAGTGATATTCACCGCGCCGGATCGATACTACACGTTCCGGGTGTAGGTGAGAATTCTTGAACAATTTTCAGTAATAGGAAAACTGATCTAGTTTTCAGTCCTGTATCGCGTATGATCATGAGAGCAACTACGCCGGCTTCTAGTGCAGAAAGGCGAGTTAAAAAACACACCTGCGTAACAAAAGCAGTTATGCCGATTATCAAGGCAGAAATCCGAGTTCGAACAGAAACATAACGTCGTGAGAGCAGCTTTGTCAGATACAAGTGCAGAAATGCGAGTAAAAACCTAGCGGCGGCTGCCGGAGTTTAGGCTAGCAGCATTCAATGACCATAACTTGACAAGACATAACTTGTCACAACTTGATGAAAGACATATCCGTCGCAATTATTCGTAATCTTGCCCGGGCTCGTAGAAACGATTTGTCTCATATGGATCCCAGCGTATTAACCATTCCCTCGCAGATCACGGCACTTAATGTGACGAGCCTCAACGATGCAACACAGTACACCGTTTCGAGCACATGCGAAAATATACGAATATGGGTGGCTCATATGGGACCATACGCCGGAGCCCACTTGCAGCCCCATGCACACACATGCCCATCCGTCCCGCATGCTTCACATGTGGGCCCCATGTGGGCACATTGACAGAAGTATCGCCGCCACCCCAGCAATTCACCGTCAACTATCAGCACCGTACCAACGAGAGAACACCGAGCTCGCCGATGGAACAGCAAATTGTATTCGGCCACCGGAAGAGGGTCAACTACCACTGGACCTGCTGCAAGCCATGATGTTGTCGCAATGCCCCGATGACGGTGACCCGGCCAGCACACCCCGACCGGGTTCGGCTGAGCTGCACCCGACAGCACTGAGAGGAGCCATGACTCCGAGCTAATGAACACTTATGGAACTCGTACGACATAGAATCACCGACATGATCCGCGTGCACGGGAACGGAGCACAGGCTCGATCTTTGTGAATGCGTAACTGAAAGCTGACGGGACTTTGTGACCACACAACTGAATGCTCAGAGAAACCGTGTGAACGGGATTCTGAACAGGATCCGTTTGCCCATAAACAATGAAAAGACCTTTGCGAATGTCAACTGAACACCGACACCCGCATCACAGCAGAACTGAACACTGGCTCGCGCAGACCCCTGGTGACCGGACGGCGGTAGGGAAGTGTGTACTCCCGAACGAGGGGCAACCCAACGCTAAACACGCAGCAGTGCAGTACAAAATTAGAAAATGATCGGAACTGAATGCAGCATCTGACGTGCTGAGAAGTGAAGCAGGACGAGCTGCGTCGCCGCCATCACACGGACCGTCTGCGGCACTGCTGACGGGCGGCGGCGGCGTCTGGTAGCGATCACCGACACACCAGCGTCACCCCGGGGGAAGATGTGGACCTGCTGTACCCCAAGGCGGAGGTTGGGGGGAGGGCTGACTGCCGTACGGCTCGCCGGCCGTCACGTGACCGCTCCGCTGGCGGCGGCCCACCTACACCACAGGGCCGACAGTGATTGCACAACAGTGTGCACCGAGTGGTGCCTATTATACACAGTCCTGTGATCAGACAACGTGAATTGGATCTGAACTACACCTCTAACCTGCTGGATACAGGGAACTTCTAAATGGCGCCTCTAGTCTCAACACACACGACCTCACGTGCGTGCGGCGGGAGAATGAACAGAACGGCCGACACTGGTAGCGGCCGAAACATTACGAATGTGCGACTAGTTGCCGCCAGGTGCTCCGCAACAAAACCCGTACCACGACCACCTCCTGCACTGAACCCAGAACTCGCGCCAAGCCGGCCGAAAACCAACACGGACACCACACACCGCAACACGCCGCTCTACCACGTGG